TGGTGGGTGGGGGGGGGGGTTGGATGTTGTGGGGTGGATTGGAGGGCAGATTGGTCCACAAGCCCCCACCGACAGTCCATGTTTTGTATGCAGCCCTGTGGTTGGTTCTTGTTGTCTCAGCAGTAATTCATATCCAGGAAACATGAGGACAGGTGACCTCCTATAGGAGATGATCCATCTCAATGGTGAGTAGTGACGGGCCGAAGGTCCAAAATTCCGGGTACTGCACTGGGGGACATGTATGGGGGTCCGGGTACTGCACTGGGGGACATGTATCAATGAAAAATATAGTTTTTAAAGGTGCAGTGATTATAACATGACTTAAAGGGAAACCATAACAATGACTGGGGGGGGGGCCCTAACCTGCCTGTCAAGTGGGGGGTCTGTACGATGTATAGAACCTGCTGCAGCAAAACTGACATTTCTAAAGAAAAAAAAAAAAGTGTGTGTGGTTCCCCCCAATAGTCATACCAGGTCCATAAGGTCTGGTAGGAATTTTAAGGAGGAAACCCGCCCCCAAAAATGAGGGGAAAAAAGTGGGGTCCACCTTAAAATTCCATACCAGACTCTTGATCCGAGCACAGGCCTGGCAGGGACTCAGGACGCCCCTGGGTATGCCTCCGGGTCCCCTTCTCTCTCCTGCAGCTGTCGGGCTCTTGGTCCATGATCGCGTGCCATACTTTTCAGAGGTGGTGACACCAGAATGACTGTCAGCCATTGTAGTGTCCCCTCTTCTGATGGTGTCACCCCATGCAGCCACTGGGAGGGTTGGGGGTCCAGCGAGGGCGAAGGATGTGCAGATTAAACTTCACCTTCAGCTGTATATAACATTATCACCTGAGAAATCTCTCCTTCTGTACATAGCATCAGGCAGAGAAAACATCTGGAATGTAAATAGAAACATCAACATTGGAGCAAACACAATCTGGAGCAGTTGCCCATGGCAACCAATCAGCTCCAGTTAAGATTTGAAAATGAAAGAGAGAAGCTGATTGGTTGCCATGAGTAACTGCTCCAGATTGTGTCTCCTCCAGTGTTGATGACCTCCTGTCACTGGGCGGTGTGTAGAGGGAAGGAGTGGGGGGGTCTCTTATTCCGGGTGTCAGAGGTGATCTCACCCTCAGGAAGGATATTAATAGCCCGCTCCGGATAATCTCACCTCCCGGTCACCCGGCTCTGTCACTTTGTATCACTGGATCGGATGACAGAGGGGCGGGGCGATCTCTCGGCAGCCAATAAGAGGCGGCCGCAGAGTTACCTTGTAACTTTCACTTTCGTTTGTCGCTTCCTGCATCCAGCGGAGGACTCGTACGATCTATGGGGGGCTGCGGTGAGTACAGAGGGCGATATGGGGAGGGGTGGTGGTTGAGTATAGAGGCGATCAATGGGGGTGGGTTGAGTATAGAGGGTGATCTATGGGGTGGGTGCGGTGAGTACAGA